AACACTCTAAACATCTTATTAATAAGTTAATCTTTGACAAATTACAGAGAGGCCCTTGAGTGAGCAGGAAAATACAAAAAACAGAATATTACAGAGTATGGRCCCAGAATAAGGCCCACAACAGAGAGAAACATAACATAACATAAAATGACAGTCTATGGGCCATTCGGCCCATCTTCTCTACAAAAAAGGCTTCATGTGTCTAACACCCACAAATATAAGCTATCTATTCTTCTTATATGTTTCTGCTTCTTAATTCTCAATTTCAAACATGATGGGAACCATATCAATGTCCTGCTTATTTAGTCTCTTTGTCACCTTGTGGAAATGAACAACTTTTGCTTCTGTTTTGCTTGGCTTATGTGCTTGTCACTCTTACCTTGGTCATATGTTAGGTCTAATTGGAATAGTCCTTGCACTGACTCGGACAGTCCTAAACCTATAATTAAGAGCTATGAATGGTCAGATTGCTGGGTTTGATTGCTCGATCTTTATGATTTTTGTGTGGCCCACCTCATTTCTGCCTTGATTCATAGTCTGCTTATGATAGTCATATTTGTCAAGGTGTTTCCTAGGCGGCTAGACACCTAGCTTTGGGCATATCACTTTGAATGCCTTGGCTTATAGCAACAAGGCACCCACCTGGGTGACAAAAATTTTAAGGCAGGTGCCTTATCCTAATATATTTACTATGGCAACATCTTACTAATATTGTTGTTAATAAAATCACTTATACTTTGTTTTAACATTTTACCTTTGAAATTTTAAATATGTAAGGGTTTTGAGAAGAAAAAAATGAAAGAGAGAAGAGAAGAGAAGGATAAAAAGTTTTCTTCTTTTATCTTTTTACTCTCTCTCTCTTTCACACACACATTAAATGAAACAGTGGCTCCACCCTTGTTCCTTTTCTCTTTTGCTTACTCCCTATCTGAAAATTTTATCATATAACATTATAGCCTTCTTTAATTGCTATTTTGAAATTTTTATATGAAATTGCTCTATTACATACTTGTTAATAATACTGTTTTTTTTATTAACAATATATTTAAAATACTGTTGTCTTTTAGATGTGATGATTTTCCATGTTATCAGAGGAAACTTAATGCTTTCAATAAAGAGAATTGCTACAAAATTGGTATACAAAATTAGGGAACGTTTTCTATTTTATAAAATTGTTATTGCCTAGGCGCCCACCTAGGTGACTAGGTGCCCCACTGTTGCCCAGAATTGCCTAGATGCCTTGACAGCTGTGGATGCACTAAATAACTAAACTTGTTTTAAAGTTTATGCATGTTGTCTGGATATGGATAACAAGATACATAATTATCCTTCCTACAGGATGGTCATCCACCATTGGGTTGGCATGACACTGCAGCATACCTTGTTTTACCTGTCCTCCTTGTTATTTCTCAATATGTCTCAATGGAGCTCATGAAACCACCTCAGGTGCAGAATCAACTTGTTAAACTCTTTCTAGACTGTTTTTACATTTTGCTTCTTGAACATATAAAAAACACTAACTTTTTTCCCCTTTTCTCAGACTGATGATCCAGCTCAAAAGAACACGCTTCTCGTTTTCAAGTTCCTTCCACTAATGATTGGTTACTTTTCTTTGTCAGTACCATCGGGATTGTCAATTTACTGGTTGGTGTCTAATTAGCAATCACTGTGATTATGCCATACATAAAACATCTACTTATGACTACCTTTGCTAATTTCATTTATCTGTCAACCATTTGCATGATTTTTTTTTTCTTTTCTGGAAATTTGGTTCAATTTACACAAAATAGCTATAAACAATTAATGAGCTTCTCATGTCTTTGCACTTCGATGCAACATATACTTAGAAATAGTAGAAAACTGCTGAATCAAAGAATCTGTAAAGAAAAGAGATATTTCTTGAAGAAGAAGAGAAAGAGAAGAGAAGAAATTGAGAAAGAAAAAGAGAGGAACCAGTCCTGGCCGCCCTCCTCACTAGTATTTATACTTTTAATTAAAAAGGGTACAATGACTAGTATGCCCTTATAGGGCGGCTAACACATAAAACTGCATATATAACTCAAAAGAACCACTCATAAGGGACCTAACAAGAGTGCTGTGGTCCCCACTTCCTATCTAACCAATAAATAAACATAAACAACTACTAAATCTGCTCAAATCTACCCAAAAACCTCAACAGAAATAAAACATGATCAAATGCATTGTGTGGAGATTTGAGACCCATTACTGAATGGGGCACATCCTATGAACTTCCATGGACGATTTATTGGAACATCTCTGCCCAAAGGAAATGTGAAGCTGAACAGTTGAAAATATATTTTAGATTGATATATGCCCTTCTAGATTCAATGACCTGGAATTGTTAAATCTTGCATTGTTATCTCACTGATGCCTGCCCTGTGCCACCATGTGTCTATGGGGAATATTATACTTGGACGGTTGGACCAAGATATTGGCTTGTTTTGGCCGTATATCATTGACACACCAGCATGATGCTTAAGAAACTTTTCAATTTTGCCTAGAACTTTGTGTTTGAGTTTATTGTTATTGTCATTATTTTTTTGGGATAATGGATGTTCTTGTATTACTTAGCCATTATGCTGCTTATTAATATTTGGGATTGGACAGGTTCACAAACAATGTTCTCAGCACAGCACAACAAGTATGGTTACGGAAATTGGGTGGTGCAAAGCCTGTTGTGAATGAGAATGCAAGTGGAATAATTAGTGCAGGACGTGCAAAGCGCTCAACTTCTGATCCAGTACAGACTGGTGATAGGTTGGCCATATTCTTCTTGTGTATTTTACTTAATTTTCACCTGGTTTACTAACTGCCGTAATTATAAAACTAACAAATAAAAATTTAACAAATAGAAGATTTAGGCAATCGAAGGAAGAAGAGAGGAAGAAAAAACTAAGCAAGGCTCTGCTAGTTGAAGAGGTTCAGACTATGGCTTCATCGGAGTCTGATGATGCCTCAGATGAAAAAACAATGAAGGATAAGGTATATTCCAAGATGTACTATTTACATGATTTTGGCATGAGTCAAATTTGGTGTTACTATCATGCACAAAAGAGTTATTCTTCATTGTCTATTACTGTCTGCATTAGAAAAGTACCTGAGAGAAGTTGTCTCCACGGCTGCTGTAAACATAACTGACATACAGCCATGCAGTTGGGATCTGTCTTTCCTACAATCCTGTAAAGTGTATTTGTTATGCTTATCTGATTTGGTACATAGTTGTATTGCAGATCTCCTTTTGTGGGATCCATCAAACAGAAGGTTCCAAGCTCCCATTAGCCTCATTTTCCATTACTAAGTGCAAGGCCAACCACTCCTGTCTAGTTGATGCATCTCAACCTTGGGGTGGCCCTTCATGAAGTCAATCATCTATCTACATGTCATCTTTCTTGTCAGATTTATCCTAGTTTCATTTTGTTTTTCATCCTTCAGGGCCTTTAGTTTGCACAAGATTATCATCACTGTAGTGTGGCACATGACAGCTACTTCTCTCTTTCTCCTCCCCCTCCCCCTATTTTCTTGTATTGTTCCTTCCACTTTTACACTCAATTAACTGATTATGCCAACATACCCATGCCTAGCTGCACTCAAATCTATGAATGTTGTCTGTTGATTGCAAATATTTGATCCACAAAATATGCTTGTATTTTTTGGTTTCCTAAAGATTTTTTTTTATTATCTGGTTGATGTGCATCATTTGTACAGTACTCTTGGAAAAATCTCCACCTTAGGCATCCAGTTCATGTCCTTTTTTTTTACTTTTTAATTTTCCCTAGTATGAACACCATGCATCTTGTGAACTTTAATTCTCACAACGAAAGGGAATTAATTACTCTCCAATAGGGGAATCAAGATATGTTTCCATCATTGGATATTCATGACCTCATTCACTTGGCAAGAGTGATGGCAATCAGAAAGTGGGCTCCACCATCTCTACTAAATTCTGTTCTGCATCATTCACGTAGTACCAATAATCTCCACCTTAGGCATACAATTTATGTTTGATTTTTTACTTTTTAAACATTTTTCCTAGCATTAGCGGAATGCATCTTGTGAACTTTAAATCTTACAACGAATGGGAACCAATTACTCTCTAATGGGGATCAAGAAATGTTTCCATCATGGCATATTCATAACCTGATTCATTTGGCAAAAAGTGGTGGCAATAAGGTGCTCCACTGCCTCTGCTAAATTCTGTTCTGTAGGTTATGGTTGTAAATCATGCCACTGTTTACAACTAGTCTGACAATGACATGGCTGCTAGATTCTACCTCTTAATTTATGTCTAAGACAGTCGATAAGTAATAACAAAGAGCTGAGTTGAACTCATGATTTGTGCAGAAAAACAATAACTGAGCTTTTGCTATGACATTGTTATAATTATTCATGGTAATAAAATTTGATCAACTGCATTACTATGATTTCTTGGAATTCTGGAAGGTGCAATGTTTATTGATCTTTGCTTTATTCAAGACTTTGCTCTGAATCTTGTGAACTAACTAGCAGGATGATAAGGTTTTGGAAGAGGCATATGCTTCTAGTGGTAGCAAACAGCTTCCAGGTTATTCAGGGCCAAGGAAGAGCAAGCGATCAAAGCGGAAGCGTGCTGTATAAGTGTCATGTATATCATTCATTGCGGTGTAGTTTTCTGGTGAGTCCTGTATATCTCAATTGACTGTATCTAAATTAATATATAGCAGCCATTTTTATCTTGGCTTATTCATTTTAGTGCAAACCACAAACCAGGAAATTCAACTAGAAATCCCATTCCCAGTTTCAAAAGAAGGGGAGAAGAGTAGAAGAAACCTTATTATTCATGGTATCAGAATAGATTTTTGATCTCGGAGCATTTGTTGCATTCTGCTCCAATAATTCTGGAATTCTTATAGATTTTAGTTTCCTAAAGGATAAGGATGTTTTGTTTGGAGGCCTGTCATGCAAGCAATCTGGGTTGGTGGACTCTATAGATGGCCCCACTTTAGAGTCATCCATTTGTTCTTGTCTGCTCACCCCATACTATATATTGGACTTTTCCAGTGACTATGGTGGCCATCTGAATCTTTCAATTTTAAATGAAAGCAAAAAGAAAGAAAGAAATAAAGAGGGCAGAAATAGCAGTCCCTTGCGCTGGAACTTGGTGGGTGAAGAAGGGTGATCAAGCCGGTTTAACATGGAACCCCTTCATCCTGCTACCTCATCTGTTTTGTAAGAAAATATATCAAAATGACGCTTGAATGTCCTTGATAGTGTAGCGTCCTTCCCAATACCAAAAGCCATGATCAGATAACAATGACTAATGTAGCATGAAGTTATGCCAAGGCTTCCAGCATGTTTGCTAAACAGAGAACATAGTTATGTGATTGTGTCAGGGTAAGAGAGATACTAGCGAAGTTTCTTATGCTCTCCTTCCTGTGGAAAAACTGGGAAAAAGAACGAAGTTTCATTTCATGTTGTATTTGATATGGTAGTAGAAACTTAAGCAATACTGTTCATTTAGAACTGCTGAAGTTTTTATAGTGGTGCAATGGTCCAATAATTATGTTAATATTAAGATAGAGAAATTGTTGAAATGGCTCGTCAATCAAAATGTTTTGACAAAAAAAATTAAAATTAGAAAGTGTGATATGCTTGAATATTCTTTGCAAAACTTAAGAAAGGAAGAATATATTAATTGTCCATTGAGATCTCTCAAGTCTCAACCACCTTTGTGCATTTTTTTTGGTATTTTCGTGCAAGAAGTTGACTATTCTTTTTTTTTCTTCCCCTTCAGAACTTTTATGTTTTAATTATATTACCAGCGATTTGTACATGCGAACCATGGCTGCTTAGTTTGACACCAAAAGAATGTTGCTAGAAGTTACAGGTAGAAACAGGAAGTTTATCATTTGAGGATTTACTGAATTTGAACGTTCAAATTAAACTAGAAAATGATCTTCCTGTATGGGGCGGGGCCACTGTTCTGACCACCCTTTTTTTTTTTGAGAAAGGGTAAAGTAACTTTATTAAAACTGATCAAGAGATTACAACTGCAGCCCCACAAAAGGAGCCGAACACACCAGAACAAAGCTGAGCAAACTTCTAGATCTCATCTGAGCTCCCAGAACCGAGGTCTGGAGACCTTTAGCAGCTGCAACCCAAGAGACCAGTTTGCCAAAAGTGAGAGATTAAACAGTCTGAATCTTTAGCTTTAATGCTTTATTATAGAAGATCCTTCTATTTCTTTCAGACCAGATGGTACTAATCACTGCTGCAGGAATGGCACTCCAAAACACTTTTAGCCAGCTTGGATAAACCTTGTAGATCCCAAATCCATAGCAGATCCATAACAGAATTAGGCATGACCCAATTAAGATCCAAGGCAGAGAAAATGCCCTCAAATAAGAAACAAAGCAATGAATGAACAGGTGGCTGCTATCCTCTTCAGCTTGACCACACAACACACACAGCGGATCCTGAATCTGTAATCCTCTTCTTATCACTCTTTTTGGTAAGGCACCTATCTAGACCCGCTGCCCAGGCCAAGGCATTTACTTTGGAAGGGGCTATTGAGTTCCAAATAGTAGCCGCCGGAACAACCAACTGATTACTTAAAATCCTATCAAAAGATTTGACAGAAAACAGCCCATCAACACTGCAATTCCAGCTCCATAGTGTCCTCATCCAATAGGTCTAGGGATTGCCTTGACAACAGCTCCAACAGCTCTGAGACTAGATCAATTTTCCGGTTTTGAAAGGGTCTTCTGAACTCTGAAGGCCTCCAGGAGAATGTGTCATCTCTAACTTCATAACAGTCAGCCACTAAACTATTCTGGTTCTTAGCAATTTGGAACAGCCGGTGAAATAGCTCCGCTAAAGGCCTGTTACTACATCAGTTGTCCTTTCAGAAATTCAGCCTTCGATATTACCCACATTTGGAGTCAAACCTCTGCTTAGAAGCGGTAAAGCTTCCATGACTTTCTTCCACAGAGAAGTGAGAGAACATCCCAGAGAAAACAATTGGGTAGAAGTTACCCAATCACCACTATCAGTCTCATATTTAGCCGCAATTAGCTTCCTTCACCAAATTGTCTTTTTCTTTTTCAAATCTCCGGATCCACTTTCCCAAGAGAGAAACGTTAAATAACTTTATAGTTTTCCAACCCCAAGGTCTCATTTTCCTTGGGAGTACAAACTTGGTTCCAATTTACTAGATGTATCTTTTTTTTTCCTCCCACCCTTTCCAAAGGAAGTCACTCTGTAACTTTTCAATTCTGTGAGCTACTTTAGCCAGGATTGGAAACAAAGAAAGGGAAATAGGAGGGAAGATCGGACAGGGAGCTCTATAGAAATATATGTATACCGGTCAGTTCGGTTAACTGTCGGTTTTCTATATTGGTTAACCGAAATTGAACTGGTATCTTCAGTTTTTTAAAAACACCGAACTGAAACCAAACTGACCGGTTCGGTTAACTGATTTTTCGATTCGGTTTCGGTCAGTTTGCTTTATTGTTTTTTTTTTTGCTCAGCCATGGGGCTACACAGTTGGGGGAAGCCCATTCCACAATAGATGTCAACAGGTCGGGTTCAGCACAGGTGTGACTCAATCCTAATCCGCACTGACCTGGTTTGAAAAAACATGATTTTTGATAGGGCTGTTCATAAGTCGGGTTGGGTTGGTTTGACTCAACCCATGAAGGGTTGGTTTGGGTCGATTTGGTTTGTTTGGCATTGTTTGTGAACAACCCTAAATGTTGTGTAAATTTTCCTACTCAAAAAAGGAAAACAATCTTAAAGACAAAAGTAATTCCCATTTAACTAATGTTTTATTGTTCTTTAATGTTAAAAATAAGTAACTAACTAAAAAGAAGAAACTAGGATAGGGATTATTTAGTTAGAAAAAGACTAGGAAATCAAAAACTAACTTGGTTCAGTTTCGGTTTTTATACATAAAAATCGAAACCGAATCGAATTATTGGTTTATCCCTCTTCACAACCCTAAACCAACCGGTGGTGAAGAAAAACTGATCAAATCGGGTTGGGTTGGGCCGGTTTGGCATTATTTGTGACAACCCTAATTTTTGAACCTAACTCGACCCTATAGGGTTTAACCTGATTCCAACCCGACTTGACCCATATAATTTTAAATGTATTAAATGTATTTTTTAACACATTTTGAAAACCTAAAATACATTAATTTAAATAAGAAAATTGTTGTATAGATTCTAAGGTGTTTTTTTTCATTTAAAAAAAGAAGAAAATCAAAATCAACATATACTTAAATTCTAAACTTTAAGCCTATAAAGTTTGAAGTCAAAAAAATTGCAAGAATACTTGGCATTTATGCAAAGAATCAAAACCCGAACTCGGTGGGGGTGGGTCAGCCAAAACCCTAACCCAACCCTAAACCAAATATACTTGACCCTAACCTGACCCTATAGGGTCAGGTCAAACCGAGTTTACCATTTAACCCTAGCCATTGACATCCCTTTTCCACTCCCTCAACCCACCCTCCCCAACCCTGGTAGCATTTTTTGTTTGTTGGGTTAAAATTAAAACTTTTATTGGAGTTATGGAAACCATGTTAAAAAAATGAGTTTAGTCATGGTTTTTAAAAATGACCCGGAGACTGAACCAGTCAAGGGTTTGGTTAGTGGGTTGAACGGTTTGACCGTTCTGTAGAGAGGTTGATTCACAACTTTACAACTGTGCTCATACCCAGCTTAGTGGAACTTGAGTAATGCTGTTGATCATGGTTTTTAAAACCATATTGGACCGGAAAAAGTGGTCAGGTGATCAATTTCGTTTCACCCCAAAACTGTTATTTTGCCCAAAACCATTGATTTGGTCAGTAAATTGCTGGTTTAGGCGATCAAATCATTTGAACCATCCAACGATTTAACCGTTTTTTTAAATTTTTTATTTCTTATTTTTTGTCAAAATGGGTTGTCTGTTCGATTCAAATGGTCGGACCGTTCGGCCTGAGAACTGAACCCCTGACCAATTCGTTTTTAAAAACCTTGCTGCTGACTAAAAAGGAGTCTGGATCTCCTACCAACAAAAGTTACAAAACACATTCCAACCCCCATTATCAACATGATCCAACAATGCACATCTCATTCATAGCGGGTCTCACTTTTATGGTGGGTCCACATGGTTCTTCGTTCAATGTATCAATTAGCGTGAAATTCAAGGGTTGATATTCACTATTCTCACTTTGATAGAGGCCTAGAGGGAACACCTCTAACGAATTACAACAATCTGTCCTGCTAAACAAAGCTAGAAAAACGATTATTAACATCCAACGATCCATCAATCTTAATAAGACCAGGAATCCAAGGATCAACCCTTTCAATCTTATACCAATATGATTTCACACCACATCTCATATATATGGCGGATCCCACTTTTATGGTGAGTCTCAGTCTCATGGTAAGTGTGTGGTGTTAAATCAAGTTGGTAGAGGGTTGGAATGTGTTTTATGGCAGAATATCCCAACTTGTGCAAATGCCAATCACCATAGATCAATTGTTGAATGCATTACTTTCTTTTCTTTTACTCTCCTTTTATTTTTTTTTTCTTTATTGTTTGGACGGGAGAGGAATTTGTGGGTTGTTTAGCTAGGAAGCAGCATCAGCGTCAATTGAAGCCGATTTCAACTATTCAACATGTCTTTTATCTCCTTTATTACTACATCAAGACCATGTGCCAATTAACTTCTCCAGCTATCATCCATTTCTTGATTTTGGTATTGGTTCTTGCCACATGCTCGGCAAGTGGTTAAGGCATCAATTGTATTTATAAATACTCTCTTGTACCAATAAGAAATAATAACAAAGTTTCTTTCTCATCACAAGTTGCGTTGAGCTTTACACTTACTCATCACAACCCTCTCTCATCGCATCTCTATAATTTTGTTATGGTATCAGAGCCATCAGTCTAATCCACCGTTGCATCTTGGTCTCTCCAATAACGCCAATGACTCTGTTATTCTTCATATCACAAGAAGATGGCTATTAGAAGTTATGCGTGTAGAAATGCGGACATCGAAGAGCAATGATGGATGCTACATCTCTATACTATCTTGGCACCTCTGACAATCCTGTCATGGTGTTGGTCACCACTCTACGGAACACTGACAGTTATCAGACTTGGAAAAGAGCCATGACGGATGCTCTTTAGGCAAAAAATAAGATTGGTTTTGTTGATGGCACAATCTTGAAGTCAGATCAAACAAAACCAAAGAATTACATGACAGCGTTGCTTACATGGATGATTTTCGTGCAATCTAGTTAGATATTGAAGAGAGATTCTCATAGGGAAATGACCCCTACATCTTTCATTTAAAACAGCAATTAGCTATGCTCTTTGGGCAAAAAATAAGATCGGTTTTGTTAATGGCACAATCTTGAAGCTAGATCAAACAAAACCAACAAAGCTTTTTGCCTGGAAGAAATGTAATTCAATGGTCATATCCTGGATTTACAATGCCTTGACTAGAGAATTACATGGCAACGTTGCTTACATGGATGATTCTCGCGCAATTTGGTTAGATCTCGAAGAGAGATTCTCATAGGGAAATACTCTATTTCAA